CATGTACATTACCTGTTAAGGTAGACGGTCTAGGTGTGGGTGACACCTAGATTGGGTAATAACATGCGGGAGGGTCTATGAGGGTGATACATTTTGTAAATCTAGGTCGTCTAGTAAGGTGGTACTTTCTCTAACATATTTCATTGTATTACCTGGATTTCTTGGCGGTCTTGGAGGGGGAATGTCGATCTCTTCATACTCAACAAAGGTAGTTTTTGGTGTCCTTAGAAAATCCACATATATTGTTCCGTCGATATTCTCCTCTTCAATGTCTTTTTGTGTGAAGTTTTTGGCAAGCACCATTTCGTAGTCATCGTCAACGCCTGGGTCAAGAGGTACTCTCACTTCGATCTCTCTGGCTGTATAACTGTCAATTGGAATTATCACGAGGGTTCGCTGGCATCGGCTCTGTGTAACTGTTTTAGCCCCCTCTGGAGGTTTGTAGTGACCAATGATTATCTTCAGCTCTACCGTGCTCTTTATTTTCACGGTACCCTCGAATACGTTTGTTTGTTCAACTGCCTCTTGTATGTTAGTTGTCACTAGTTTTGGTCCGCTCTCCTTCACGAATGTGACGTATTGGGGCAATGGAAACCTGCTGATAACCTGTTGTAGTGTATAATCGTTGTTGTCTGGCATCAAAAAGAATTTTTGTTGGACACTTATGTCCAGTAAAATCTGTGTCGTGTTACTGTACTCATCAACTGAAGATTCATCTGTCACAATGTTACAAACTAATCCTTCACCAGGAATGATTCGATCAAGTTCAATGACAGATTTCCGATCTACACGGACGTTGTTCTTTGATACAAATGGGTCTACTGTCTTCACGTATCTCGGGAAGTCTCTAACCAGTTCTCTGACACTGTGGTAGACCTTTCTACCGGACTCTGGGTGGAATATGTTGACCACGCCCCTGTAACGTAAGGGGATGGTAAGGTCCTCTGTCTTTTCAACGTAGCCATGTTCGTCCTCACGAAGCACACCCGAATACCTATCACGTCCAAGGTGGTCCACACAACACGTTACTACTTTCGGTATAGATTTCACTAAATCAAGTTTTAATAGGTCGTCTTGTGAAAATGTGTCCGATTCGTGACAGCCGTATATTCCCTCTTCCACCTTCACCAATAAGGGTAGAGTGAAATCGGAGTCCCTTATAATGTCTCTGATTCTGTAAGTCCTGTCAGACCAGTTCAACGTCTGACAGCCACCACACGCCATGGCTGTATACCTTAACCAGGAAGTGTTAGAAAGATTGTGTGGGCTGACCTTTGACACGAAAAAATATATCATTTAATAGATGTGGACAGATATATCTCACTAGCGCATCCGACAGGAAGAACTCGGACAAAAACAAACGATGATCATGTCATGATAACTTAGTACAGGTCTGCACAGTATATGTGTCACACATGTATTAAGTACGTGTATCGGTGGGGTTATTTGTAATTTCAGGTATAGTGTGCTATAACAGGTAATCGTATGATAACATGTAATGCTACCCAAACTAGCATTAAATATTTTACAAACCTGGGTCTGATAAGTCAACTGTTGTTGGTAGTCTAGCAGGTGTGTGTTATTGAACTCAAACTGCTGTGTTTTGTGTATTGTGTTGTGTAGTGTTAAAGGTACTATCTATACACTGAATACACAACAATGGCCTCACCTGTGCGGGGAATTACCCTCAAAGGGACATAACAATCAATGTTTATATCACATGAAGAATTATATTATAAATGTTGAACCATCTAAAACTTTACTACGAACTGAAATGAACGAAAATATCATTGAGATAGTCCTGGATCTATTGTTAAAGCAAATCATAAATGATTTAAGTCAAATATTGACATTTATGAATAATTATGTACAAAGCCATGCCCTCATCCGAAAAATTTCGAACAGTTCAATAAATAACAAAACTGAATGTACTCTGGGTTGAAAATAGCGTTCGGGAAACCAAGTAGCTACATTTTATTGTAGATTTCTGGTAGGGAGTTTGGTAAGAGGGGAGGTGGAGGCTATTTTTGTTACTGATCCTTAAACAATTTTAGGAATTTTATGTTAATTTTCCAGAAAACTGATCAGCACTGACAAATCCCACCAAATTGTGACAGGTCGTTTGATTATGACGTCAGAATAAAGTCACGATGTCAGTTTTCCATTTCCGTTGTTTTTCTTTTCCACGGAAACGCGCGAGTGCGGATCTTAGTCAGCCTCGTGCATAGTGTACAAATAGCGGGAGTTGTTAATCACATTCATGTTCATTATCAAGAGCATTTCGATGTACACGTCATAACAATAATCTTTGAACCTTATTCATTTTTTTTAATCAGAAATTGCATTGAAGCTTGACTGCAATTACAGAGGTGGATGAGGAGGAGGAGGTAAGCCATGCGTTAGTGACACTATATATTTATTGTCCTTGTTTTCCCACGATTAAATATGGACAGATACATATCTGTTTTATAACCTTCCCATGTTCTGCTCATTTCTGACAGGAACGATATTAACGATGTACAATAACGATCATAATATTATGAGTACAATGTATAGGTCTGGTCCGAGAAGATGTGTTACATATAATATGTTACTTACGTTATTCTTAACTTTTCCTATACAACATAATATCCACAATTTAGGGTATAAAAGTGGAGAGATTGTTGCTGATTTGGAATAATGTTTGTTTTTAAGGAGGCACGGTAGTCTACTGGTAGGACGCCGTGCTCGTGACCGAAGGGTTGTGGGTTCGAGTCACGGCACGGCACTGTGTTTTGTCTTTGAGCAAGATACTTTACTCCGCTTGTTCCAGTGTATTCAGCTGTAAATGAGTACGTGGTTGGGCAATGCTAGAATTGTTGAATGCTAGTTGTGAGCGCCGAAATGGCAGCACCGGCTGTATGCTCCCCAGGGAGTTAGGAAAGCTGGTTGCAAAGGCCATATAACCACGGATAATAATTTGTGAACCGCTTTGAGGCGACCTATTAACTAAGTTGTGATAAAGCGGTTTATAAGAACCTCGAATTATAATTATCATTATTATTTTTCTGGAAGCATCTGATGTGATTTAAGCCTATCTATTGTTTCATCTCATTTTCTATTAATTGGATTTTTGTACTTAGTGTGGGTCATTTGCATTGGGTTATTTAACCTATAGTAAACTATTTGTACAACCGTGGCGAGCAATTTGTACAAGGTAGTTATACGTATAGCGAACTATTTGTAAAAGGTTGGCATACTTAAAGCGAGCTCTTTGAAAAAGGTTGATATACTTAAAATGAGCTATTTGCATAAGTTTGTTGTACTTAAAATGAGCTATTTGCACTAGGTTGTTATAAGTATAGCGATCGAGCTATTTAAACAAGTTTGTTATACTCATAGCGAGCTTTTTGTAAAAGGTTGTTATACTTAGAGAGAGAGCAATTTGAACAAGGGTATTTAGCGAGCAACTTGAACTGGTTTTTATGCGTAAAGCCAACAACTTGTACGAGTTTGTTCTAGAGAGCTATGTGTATAAGGTTGCTATACTTAGAGAGAGAGCTATTTGCACAAGACTATTAAGTTAACTATTTGTAAAAGGTTGTTATACTTAGAGAGAGATCTATGTGTATAAGGTTGTTATACTGAGAGAGAGCTATGTGTATAAGGTTGGTATACTTAGAGAGAGCTATGTGTATGAGGTTGTTATACTTAGAGAGAGAGCAATTTGAACAAGGTTATTTAGCGAGCAACTTGAACTGGTTTTTATGCGTAAAGCCAACAACTTGTACGAGTTTGTTCTAGAGAGCTATGTGTATAAGGTTGGTATACTTAGAGAGAGCTATGTGTATGAGGTTGTTATACTTAGAGAGAGAGCAATTAGAACAAGGTTATTTAGCGAGCAACTTGAACTGGTTTTTATGCGTAAAGCCAACAACTTGTACGAGTTTGTTCTAGAGAGCTATGTGTATAAGGTTGCTATACTTAGAGAGAGAGCTATTTGCACAAGACAATTAAGTTAACTATTTGTAAAAGGTTGTTATACTTAGAGAGAGAGCAATTTGAACAAGGTTATTTAGCGAGCAACTTGAACTGGTTTTTATGCGTAAAGCCAACAACTTGTACGAGTTTGTTTTAGAGAGCTATGTGTATAAGGTTGGTATACTTAGAGAGAGCTATGTGTATCAGGTTGTTATACTTAGAGAGAGCTATGTGTATGAGGTTGTTATACTTAGAGAGAGAGCAATTTGAACAAGGGTATTTAGCGAGCAACTTGAACTGGTTTTTATGCGTAAAGCCAACAACTTGTACGAGTTTGTTTTAGAGAGCTATGTGTATAGGGTTGTTATACTTAGAGAGAGCTCTGTGTATAAGGTTGTTATACTTAGTGAGAGAGCTATTTGCACAAGACTATTAAGTTAACTATTTGTAAAAGGTTGTTATACTTAGAGAGAGTGATGTGTATGAGGTTGTTATACGTAGAGAGAGAGCTATGTGTATAAGGTTCTTATACTTAGAGAGAGCTATGTGTATGAGGTTGTTATACTTAGAGAGAGCTATGTGTATGAGGTTGGTATACTTAGAGAGAGAGCTATGTGTTTAAGGTTGTTATACTTAGAGAGAGATCTATGTGTATAAGGTTGTTATACTCAGAGAGAGCTATGTGTATAAGGTTCTTATACTTAGAGAGAGCTATGTGAATAAGGTTGTTATACTTAGAGAGAGAGCTATGTGTTTAAGGTTGTTATACTTAGAGAGAGAGCAATTTGAACAAGGTTATTTAGCGAGCAACTTGAACTGGTTTTTATGCGTAAAGCCAACAACTTGTACGAGTTTGTTCTAGAGAGCTATGTGTATAAGGTTGTTATACTTAGAGAGAGAGCTATTTGCACAAGACTATTAAGTTAACTATTTGTAAAAGGTTGTTATACTTAGAGAGAGCTATGTGTACAAGGCTACTTTAGCGAGCTATTTGAGCTGGCTGTATATACGTATAGTGAGCTATCTGTACAAGGCTATTATACTTATAGCGAGGTATTTGTATAAGGTTGTTATACTTAGAGAGAGCTATGTGTACAAGGCTACTTTAGCGAGCTATTTGAGCTGGCTGTATATACGTATAGCGAGCTATCGATACAAGGCTATTATACTTATAGCGAGCTATTTGTATAAGGTTGGTATGCTTAGAGAGAGCTATTTGTACAAGGCTACTTTAGCGAGCTATTTGAGCTGGCTGTATTTACGTATAGCGCGAGCTATCTGTACAAGGCTATTATACTTATAGCGAGCTATTTGTATAAGGTTGTTATACTTTGAGAGAGCTATGTGTACAAGGTTCCTTTAGCGAGCTATTTGAGCTGGCTGTATATACGTATAGCGAGCTATCGATACAAGGCTATTATACTTATAGCGAGCTATTTGTATAAGGTTGGTATGCTTAGAGAGAGCTATTTGTACAAGGCTACTTTAGCGAGCTATTTGAGCTGGCTGTATTTACGTATAGCGCGAGCTATCTGTACAAGGCTATTATACTTATAGCGAGCTATTTGTATAAGGTTGTTATACTTAGAGAGAGCTATATGTACAAGGCTACCTTAGCGAGCTATTTGAGCTGGCTGTATATACGTATAGCGAGCTATCTGTACAAGGCTATTATACTTATAGCGAGGTATTTGTATAAGGTTGTTATACTTAGAGAGAGCTATTTGTACAAGGTTCCTTTAGCGAGCTATTTGAGCTGTCTGTTGTACGTATTGCCAGTTATTTGTACAAGATTGTTATAGCGAGCTACAATGTGTATTGACTTTTTTTTTTGTATATGTTAGTTGTATTGTTTTATTATACTTATGTAAATATTTTGTAAAGTATACAGGTTATTCCTGATATGTAGCCTCATAATACTAAATAAGGCAAATGTAAATAGATCTATATATATCAGCAAAAAATGGAGTAAATAATTCCGGAGACATCAAAAGTAAACAAGAGAACACTCAAGTGTAAACAAAACTGCAATTTGAACTCGAAATCTACCAAACAAAGAAAAAAAAAAGGAACAAAGGCAATATTTACAAAAATGCCTTGACCCATATACGATCTCTAGATAGTCAGTTACTTCAAAAAAAAATACAAACGTATTTGCCTACCCACTCACCTGAATAAAATTTTAATATCACTTTCAACATAATATAATAAACATTTAATTGATAGACAGTTTACAAATTGTTATGTACTAAACTGAATATAAATTTAACCATTTTATTTGTATACAAAGTATTTACAACCGGTGCGTTCTTATATCTAAGAGGCTGA